AGAAGGAGGAGGAGGAGGAGGAGGTGGTGGTGTTGGAGGAGGAGGAGGAGAAGAAGAAGAAGAAGAGGCAAAGAGGAGGAGGAGGAGAGGCAAAGAGGAGGAGGAGGAGAAGAAGAGGCAAAGAGGAGGAGGAGGAGGAGGAGGAGGAGGAGGTGGAGGCCCGGGTGGAGGACCAGAGCCCGCAGCCGTGGCAGCCGCGCCAGGCGACAGCTCGGGCGGCCGCCGCCGTGCGCCCAGGCCCGGCTCGCATGCGAGTCACGTCCGCCCCCTCGGCGGCCGCCCCGAGACGCCGGCCCCGCCGAGTGATGAGAACAGACGTCAAACTGCCTTATGAATATTGATGCGGACGCCGGGCTGCTTTCGTAGAGAAGCAGAAGGAAGCAAGATGGCTGCCCTTTAGGATTTGTTAGAAAGGAGACCCGACTGCAAGGACTGGATTGCTGCAAGGCTCGGGGACGAGAACGAGGTCAGAGCGCTTCCCTCTCTTCCTCTCTCCCTCTTCCTGGCTAGGAAACTCTCCTTTTCCCTCTCTCTTGCCCTCTCTCTCCCTCTCTCCCTCTCTCTTCCCCCCACACCCCCCCCCGCCCCACCTCGCTTTCTCTTGGGCTTCCAGGGATTGGGGGAGCAGACCTTGTAATGTCACCCACAAATACCAAGAGGGAAGCTTCACAAATTACTGGAGCTTCTTCAACATGGCTGACAAATACAGTTTTAATCTCCACCACCACCACCCAAACAACAACCCCTTTAAACCTGTACTTCGGGGTTCACTTCTGTCTCCTGCCAATGCTCGTCCCCTCTTGGCCCCCCCCCCAAAAAAAACTTACCTTTACACCTCCCCACGAGCTGCTTTCCTGGCCTCTAACGCGTCAGGAAAGTGATTCTTATTTTCTCTCTCTGCTTTGCATTTCTTGTTCAGTTAGTTCGGCCGGGGGGTGTGGGGGAGCATGCCACTTTTCCCTTTAAACCACCCCCACCCCATCTCCTTCTTGTAAGTCAAACGGGTCTCTAGTTTCACCCCCCCCCACACACACACAACACCGAAGGGGGGTCCTGGGATCCTCTCCCCCCTTCTTCGCTTGCTAGGCTGTGGAGTCTGGGTCTGGGTTTGGATCTGCCCCTTCCTGTCCCCGTGTCCCCCGCTGGGGTCAGCGCTCAGCAGATGTCACGGAGAGTGGGCTAGGAAGACACCGAGTGGAGTTCTGCCGTGCGTGCTGTGTTTTCTCTTTTTTTTTCCTCCCCACCTCCCAAGTCCGCGCTTTTTGTTGGTGGCGCTGAGCGAGCGAGGAAAAAGCATAGTTTCTCAGGTCCCCCAAACAAGATCGGAACCCACTTTCCCGCAGGTCCCTTGGGCAGTGTGTGGGTGCGGTGTCTTCCCACCTGGGGCAGGAGTGGAAGAGAATTTGTAAGGCAAATCTGGGTCCCGGCTTTGTGCTTCTCCCCGAAAGCAGCTCCGTTTTGGTTCCCCGGTAAGTGACAGGCAAGACACAAAGGCTGGCGCAGGCCCGGGAGGGGGAGGCTCGGGGTGGGAGTGTGCGGTGCACAGAGTTGCGGGACCGAGGGGCCAGGGGCGCCTGGAGACACGAAAGCCATTCCAGCAACGAAGAAGTGAACAGATCGGTTACCGTCCCGTCCAAATTGCTCTTTGCCTCTTGCTTTCTCCTTTCTTTGGTTTTTTATCTCCTGTCTTTCCCTGTGTGTGTGTCTGTGTGTGTGTGTGTGTGTGTGTGTGTGTGTGTGTGTGTCCTCTCTCCTCTCCTCACCTCTTGCTTAATCTCTCTCTCTTTTTTTTTAAACTGGGATTGCCTGTCTAGTGTGGTTATCCTACCAGAGTTTCTACGGAGAGAGTTTTCTACCTAGGAGAATATAAAGTGTGGCCTGAATCAGAAATACGTGTGATTTGCTGGAAACCAGCCTCCTGACATGGTTTTAATTATGTCGAGTGATTGCTTTTCCTCTTGTCTAATGTTTCTGACTTGAAACAGGATTATTTTCAGGTGGCTTACTTAAAATTTAGTGAGCTTTTTTAAAATTTCTTAAATGTTTTAATTTTTAAAATTAAAAAAAAATCTGAATAGAATCCATCCATCCATGGATTTTAAATTGCAAATCACACATTGTTGCACTTTTTCTCCCCTCAGCCAGGGATTAGGATGGCAAAATTCAAATACAAAATTATTTATTGGCAAATGGTCCAGCACAGGAAAAGAGTGTATGTTAAGGAAGTTGGGATTTACAGGGAAAAGATATTGGTTGGGTCTGATGTATGGCTGTGGGTATTGTTGCCTGGCTAATGAAATCATTACATTTGCATTTTAATGGAAAGTTGAGATACTGAAGGGGAGCTATATTCTTCTGCATGTTTACATGTGTGTTTCATACTCAGTTGGGAACTGAATATAAATTTCAATGCCACAAATCCTAATTTTTAAAAATGTTGTTTAGCAGAAATGTGTTCATAAAAGATTAGAGAGTTAAACTTAAGCAAACATTTATTGGATTAAAAGGGTAAATTAAAAAGCACCAAAATGGACATTACTACATAAATTAGATTTCCAAAACTATTTGTCCTCAAGAGTTCAGTTTGTAACTCTATTTTGATTTTTGGCAAAGTGGTTTTAACATGGCTTTAATCACTGATAGTGGAGGTACTTTCACATGATGTCATCTCCGAGAATAGGAACAGTTCATTGGTTACTTCTTATTTACTGTAAGTTAATAAGGAAAGCACTGAGGATTTTTAGCATAAATGCTTACTGTTTGCCGAACAAACTGAGAATATGTATTATTGATCAGTATGAATAAAAGTCATGCTTTCTCTTAGAGAAATTATTTGAGTAAGTCTAGGATAAAACGTTTATTATAAAAGATATAACCTCAGATCTTCATTTACCATGTCGCCTGTGCTAGTCAGTCACCTCTGAGTACTCCCAACATTCCACAGGCCTGACTTGGTCAATTGACTTTTAGAAGAGATAATAAAAAATAAAAAAGATCCATAGCATGTTCTTTTTAGACTGCAGCACTGTTTTGATTTTTTTATTGAATTTAATCATTAATGAGGAATTAACTTGGAATGAGAGAAGTCACTTGCTTTGTTTAAATTCAGTTATCTGCCAAAACCCCTTTGCAGGCTTTCATTTGTTTTGGCTTATGCCAGGAATGGGAAGGGTAGTTTATATTTCAGTGCACTGGCATGCGATCCTGAGTGCTGCCAGGTGAGCATTGCTTCCACGCTTCCTAGACAAGTGAAATGCACCTGCAGCGGACTTGGTATGACAGACTTCCAAAGTCCTTATTGGGTGCTGGGTTTGCATTAGGTAGCAAAGTCTAGAGTTTGTGTTTTGGTTTCACTTGTTGGAGTTAGAAATTCTCTACCAGTTCCTCCCAAGACTCCACCCACACAGTGTTGTAAAGCAAGTGTCACTATTTCCTTGTTTGCTGACCTCATTAAGAAGCCCTTCTTATGATTCATAGACACACCTAGCAGGGACTGTTTTCCATCATGCAAATTACTAAGTTCTTATGAAACCACCTTGAAATAAAATGTCAAGATGTTGCAGAATGTCAACATCTTAGAATAACTCTGTGTGTGTGTGCGCACGTGCAGTTACGCGCGCGCTGATCCTAGGGCTTGAACTTGGTGCCAGGGTACTGTCCCTTAGCTTTTTTGTTCAAGGTTTCAGTTCTCCCACTTGAGCCACAGTTCCACTTCCAGCTTTCTGGGTGGCTAATTGGAGAGAAGAGTCTTACGAATCTGGACTGGCTTTGAATCTCAGTCCTCAGATCTCAACCTCTTAGGATTATAGGTAGGAACCACCAGTGCCCAGCAAGAATGCCTCATATTTTATAAATATTGCTAGAGCTGCTTTTTAATGCCATTAATTGTTTCTAATTGCAATTTCACCTGTTATTGCCTTAATATAATTGTATCATCTTATTTATCGGTGTCATAACTTGATTTATAAATTACGAAGTAATGTGAGAGCTACTGTATTTGCAATAAATTCTTTTCTATTAAAAAAATAAATCACCAAGTAAACATATTGATTATCATTGTTTTCTAACATGGCTATTGGCAAAAACTTTTAGACCAACTTCCACTATTGGTTCATCAAAATAATGTTTTCTCAACAAGATGCCATCCTTGCATAGTAGTTCTTTAGGGTAGCAATGACACCAACACCAACAGCAGGAAAATATCTCCCAAGTCAACTTCACAGTTGGGGCCTTTGCTGTGGGAAAGTCAGGTTGCCAAGTGGAACTGGTGGTTATCTTGGAAACTGTGCTGAGGAACACAACCACCAGTGATTTTGCCAAACATACAGTATTTACTTGGTCTAGAGCTCCAATTTCAACTCACTGCCAAAACTTAGTGAATAGTGTGATATTATTGAGTGGATTATACACTATATCTGTTAGTGGGTATACAGTAGTAAAGAAGGCAGGTTCTAGAAGGAGTGGGGTAAAGTGAGAGTGTGAATCAGTGACCACAAGGAAAAAATAATGTATATTTGATTATTTCCAGAATGAGTCTGACCTTAGATTGGTCATGGCAAAAAAAAAATAAAAAAAATTTGTGACTTAAGATAGATTTATAATCTTTTCTCACTGAAGATTATACCACTGAATTGATTTTTTTGTTCCATTCCCAAATAGTAGATTCTGTCAGCTTTAACTTATATTTCCCCCACTTGTTATAACATGTAATTAAATGTGCCATGCTTTAAGATACAGAAACAGCCAGGTACCCAGTAGTTCATGCCTATAATCCTAACTACTCAGGAGGAGATCTGAGTATCGTGGTTCAAAGCCAGCCTGGGCAGGAAAGTAACTGTGAGACGTATCTCCAACTAACCACTAGAAAACCAGAACTGAAATTGTGGCTCCAAGTTGTAAAACACTAGCTCAGGAACAGTACCCAGGTCCTGAATCCAAGTCCTAGTAGCACACACACACACACACACACACACACACACACACACACATCATATTCTAAATAATATGAGAATTTAAATAAAAGATGACTGAGGGAGAGTGACTTTTGTTGTTGTTGTTGTTGTTGATTGTGGGGCTTGAACTCTGGGCCTGGGTGCTGTCCCTCAGCTCTTCAGCTCAAGGCTAGCACTCCACTACTTGAGCCACAGCACCACTTCCATTTTCTGGGGGTTTATTGGAGCTAAGAGTTTCATGGCCTTTCCTGCCTGGGATTGGCTTTGAACCATGATCCTCAGATCTCAGCCTCCTGAGCAGCTAGGATTACAAGTGTGAACCACTGGTGCCCGGCTGAGTGAAATATTTTTGAAGGACAGTTTAGGACATAGAACAAATTAGTTGTTTCACTAAAAATATTGTTTTTTATAAAACATATGTTTTTTTTTTGGTCTGGTCATGGGGCCTGAACTCTGGGCCTGGGCGCTGTCCCTCAGCTCTTCAGCTCAAGGCTAGTGCTCTACCACTTGAGCC